TTCTTCTCCTTCAGCTTTACATCACTGCATTGATAGAGTGCATTAGTGAGTCAAAAAGAGTATGCAGCCCATGATTATCATTACAATGATTCGGGAAATATTCACACTAATATACCCACTTTAACTGAACAAATTACAGAGTATTAGAACGACTTGTTCGCAACCAATTGAATAACTGAAACAAGGAGCAGAGAGACTATAAACAACTTTACTAATTCGTATACACTATGAACGAGTGTACTCCTCATTAACACTCAAGCCAATATACCCAACCTAGGTACATATAATTTATAGAGTATTGCAATGAGTCGCATGCGAAAAGTGAAAGAAACATTTGCACTTCCTGCTCTTTTCTATAGCTCCCCAACGCTACTCCAAATCCCCAATACACTGACTCCCGCTTTAGCTACCTGCCACGCCTTCCTCACTGCCTGCCCACCACATTCTGCTTGCTCTCATCCTCTATTCACATTGTTGCTGTGTTTATGTCTCGCATTGAAATTGCTCGCTGAGCGGGTCAGCGGATGGCAGCGCCAAAAGGAAAATGTGTCAACTGAAATAAATGATTTTCTTTTTGCCGCTTCATTTTCTTTCTATGTTTTTTTTTCGTTTTTATTTTATTTTTTTGTTTTTTCTTTCATTTGCGCTTCATTGCAAATGTTCGCCTATATTTTAGTCGTGTTTTTTCTCTCGCTGCTGCTGCTGCTGTCGCCCTCGCATTGCACATTGCACATTTGTCCAGTGTTTGGCGTTTGGGCTCATGTCCCTGCCACGCCTACAGCCATCAGACAACTGCCGCCGCTGCTGCTGCTCCTGATGCCTGAGCTGATGCTTCTGCTGATGAGTGGTGAGTTGTAAGTGGTGCGGTGTGGTGGTGCTCTTGGTATTGGCGTTGAGTGTATGGCACATTAAGAGATGGCACAACACATGCTGGTTATGTAGGTGGGCACAGACACGCCCTCCTAACGCCTACATATCATGCTAAGAAGACAGCAGCACAGAATTACATGCTGGCTGTGCGCCATGTACAGTGGAACATCGCTAAACTCGCTATTAGCTATAATTCATGTGAGAACTCTATGGAAATTGTTATGATTTAAAGCACAGTTTGATATCGAGAAAATAGAGGTTGATGGAGATATAAAGAGAAGACTTGATTGAGTAAGAGGGTTAAAAGAGAGAGAGAGAGATAACTACTTAGGAAGATAAAGAGAATGAGAAATGGAAAACTGCATAGAACTACAACGAGAGAAATAGAGAGAAAATAACAGAAAAGAAGGAAACGGAGAGGGCCAAAGAAAAGCAAGGAAAACATAATGGGAGAAGGAATGGGAAAGGTATAAATCGACATATAGACAGAGAAAAAGGAGAGACATCATGAAAAAAGGAAAGAGATAAGCTGAGAGGGAGAGGAGGATAGCAAGGCAGTTAGAGAGTGAGAAAGAAAACTACAGAGTCATAGAAATCCAGACCAAGACATAAAATGTGAGAGAAAGAGAGAGATAGAGACACAATAAAAATCGCCGCTTATATTTATGAAAGAAACGTAATAAGGGAAACTATTTTGTTAGATCTTGACCAACTAATAGATTTTTTAACTAAGCGAAATCTCACAATCGTCTAACAAATTATTCTGAATGAATTATTTGAAGCCGCTCTGACTAGCATGGAATTCATAGCCTGGGAGTTCGTATTTTCTTAACTAAAGGTTAATTTTCATAAAAATATAAACTTGGCACATAAATTTAAGCCCCTTTACGCTCCGTATTAGTCAAAATGATTTGTCTATCATTTCTGTTGTTTGTTGTGCTTTTGGCAGCCACTGTTTGCTGCGAGTGGTAGAAAGGCTCCAGCGCAGCTTCTCGCGCCTGCTGTTCACAAAATTTATATATATATATTTATAAATGTATGTGTGTGTGAGTCTATGTGTGACAAGGCAATTCCTCTGTTGCTCCATAACCATTGCCAAAGTAGTTATGTTGTCGTTATTGTTGTTGTTGTTGTTGTTTCGCTTTTGTTTCGAACATTGTTGTCGTTGTCATCATTGCCCCGGCTGGCCCCAGCGCTGGGCTTTGGCATTGTGTTGGTGCAGGCCACGATTGTAGCTGCTAGCGCCCCAAGCATAGAAAACTTTTTTTTCATTTTATACATACATATATATCTATATATGAGTTTGCAACAGCCCCACCCATGAACAAGCATACACACACACACACACACAGAGAGACACAGCGGCACACTCACACTGGCACGCTGGCACAACGGGGTTAAATAAGCTGTTAATTATGTGTTTAAAATTTCTGACATGACGCAGTGCAAATTATTTATTTACGATTTATTTTTAGCTCAATCTACATCTGTGTGTGTGTATGTGTGTGTGTGTGTGTTTGCTGGGAAAATATGCGACAGTGCGCAATTTAGCCACCGAGCTTCCAGCACGGTGTCAAGCCTGCCGTATACGCAATATAAAGCATACGCAACGTGTGCGCCCCAGTCAGTCCCAAATGTCTATGTCTTTGTATTTGTCATTTTCTGTGTTCTGCCGCCAGCAACAAATTACGTACTTTGTGGCTGTGCGTGTGTGCCATTTGTCTGCTCTCACAATTGCAAACAATTACATACGGGAACAACAACAAGATTTCGTACAATAAATATATACATATATTGCTAACCCCAAAAGTAAATAATTCACTCGAAATTCTGCATTGGTCGGGAAAACTAAATAAAAGTCAGCTTAAAACAATATTTATAGATTGCTATAACTATAAGAATCATATAGATTTTGCTCGATTCTATAACACATACTGATGCAGCTATGCGTAAGTAAAGTCATTCAAGTCAGCCAAAAGAGTTGATCATAGATTCGCTCACAATCCCTACCAACTGTGCCCATTTAATTGACATACTCATGTTAGGCTCTGAGACCGAGAGGTATATATTAATATAGATATTTTTAGGGCTGATCGATATTTCATACAGGCTCTTACAGCTAAATTTAGTAGTAGTAAGATTTTATAATATATGATGATAAATATCCCAACTGTAAGACAAAAATTGTTTAGCCATTCGTAATTATTCATCTGCCATCTAGGATAGCATTGGGTCTCTGACTCTTAAGCTGCTAATGGACTGAATGAGACTAACAAAGATAAAATAAAAGTATTAATCTGCCATCTTACCAAAAAGCAACAGTTCATACATATAATATAATACCTCCAAAATGATTCAAACTTTAACCAGAAATTTTGCAACGTTATCAAATTATTTATGTTGGTCTAAGAAATATTCAAGCTTCAAAATAAAAGAAAATGAAATGATAGCAAAATAAGGGTAAACGTAAGATTTTAAATCATTCAAATTGCTAAATTGTCATCCATATCCATCACAATCACAACGACAATCACTGTGACGCGTCACGAGTCACAATCGCAAATCAGTTGAGCATTTTCTGCTCTCTTTCTGTTTTTCCTGTTTGGTTTCTTGGGGCGCTAAGATTTCCGCTTAAATAATTCAAAATTTGTCGAAATGACAAATTACCCAACGTTTGCTGCCTGCATGTGTTTCATTAATTTAACGCTGTCGCACACACACACACACGTACACACAACGGCAGTTATATACATATACGCACACACGCGCGAGGCGCAAAAGCTTTGGCATTTCATTTTCATAAATTTGGCCAGCCACAGCAACAAATGACAACGGCAAACTCAATCAATTTGCGTGTGTGTGCGCGAGTGTGTGTGAGTGTGTGTGCGAGAGTGTTTGTGTGAATGAGTGCGTATACGTGATTCGCTTGGGCGTACGAAACGTACTGAAGCTTCATACCAAAAATTTATGCTTATTAAAAATCAAACAGTGCGCAGTGAAAAGTCAACTTCAGCATTGAATCCGACTCCTTAAATGTCCTTATTACTGGCCATAAACTGAATTCATAAAAATCATAAATGCTTATTTTGATTATAATGAACTCTTTAAAATATTGAGACTTTTTTAATATGTAGATCTAAGATATACACTTACGTTTATACATAAGATAAGATAAATTCATAGTTATATTATGATTTGTATTTAAATTTAATACTTATGCTCAAGAGATATGAATATACATAGATATTATTCCAAATTAAAGGCAAACTTTGTTTTGATATTCTTGCTCTTCTATCTAAATATCTCAATTGAAGTAAATTTCATATGACTGGGTAAATGCTCTCAGCTCTTTAGCTGCAGCAAAATGTCGTACTTAACGTAAGTGAAAGCTTCATTTGTAAAGCAAAATGAATTTGATATTTAAAGAGCAACTGTCAACAGCTTGGCACACATAAATGATTGCAAGTCTTGGTCAATATATGACGCATACGACAAGTGTGCCAGCAGCAGCAGCAGCAGCAGCAGCGTCAGTAAATGAACTATATAGAGACTGAAATGCACGTTACACTAACGGCAAACAACAACAACAGCAGCAACAACAACAACAACAGATATGACAGCAACATCTACTAGCGCAGAGCTTTAGCCGGCGGCCACGGCTGCTGCTGCTGTTGCAGTTGCTGCTCTGCTTGTATCCCGACGATTTAGCTGATTTATGTTGATTTGTGAGCGAGAAGTGCCAGAGCTGCTTGCGTGCTGCCATACCCAGCAGCAGCAGCAGCAACAGCAACAGCAACAGCACCAGCAAATATAGTTAGTGGGGCTTAGGCAGCCAGCAGAGGCCCAAAACGTTTGCTGCGACGCTGAGGCAGGGCAGGGCAGTAGCGTGAGCTTAATGCCAACAATAACAAGGACTTACCAACAGCTACAGTTACATACAGCAGCAGCAGCAGCAGCAGCAGCAACTACTCACTCACACCTTTTGCTCCCTACTCTCACTCACTCCCACTTCCACTCCCACTCCCACTCTCTCGCTCTCTTCTTTCGCTTAGTCTGCTGAGAGCTGAAGCGTGCAGCTGTCGGCCCGGTTTAGGCTTCGTCTCTTGTGCTTCGGCTTCGTATGGCAGCTTCGGCATTTGTTTTCTGTTACGCTTCGTCGGCTCGGCAGTCGCGCCCAGCTTCGTGCTCTACTCTAAACACTGTGCCAGTCGGTCCTGCACGAAGAGTGCTGCCAGCCTGCTGCTTCTTCTTATTTCAGTTTCTGTGTGCTGAGCGCGTCGACGCTGACGCCGCCGACGACGCCAACGTAGGCGCTGCTGCTGTTACTACTGCTGCTGCTGCTGCTGCCCGAGTCACAAGTCCGAGTCCGTGTCCGTGTCGAGTTGAGTGCAGACGTTTTGTCCTCGTGAACGCTGTGTGCAAAAAAGAAAAAAAAAAGAAAAGAAAAGAAAAACAGAAAAAATAAAGCAAAAAAGAAAAGAAAATAGTTCAAAGCGAGCCATAGATACATTTTCCACTTCTTCTCTGGTATGGCCAAGAGCAAACACAGTTTAAATAAAAGCCAACAGAAATATGCCAAATTCCGCACAATGTAACTCACTTAAATTCGATAATTTTGGATTATAACAAATATGTATAAATATATATGTATATGTATATGTGTATGTATATGTATACAAAGTGTAATATATATGAACTGTGCTTCAATCTGGCGCTGGGCGAAAAAGAGGCGTAGCTGCAAAAATCGAAGCCAACTTTATGCATATTTCTTGGTGTAGAGAGCGCGTCGTGCGTTTGTGTGTATGCGTGTGTGTGTGTATGAGTGTGTAAGAGCTAAGCACAGTAAATGTGGGCTAAACAATTTAAACATATTTAAATTAAATGTAATATATATATATTTTTGGCATAAATTAGAAATTAAAAAAAAAAAAACTTTTTTAAAGTATTCATTAAAAATGTAAAAGTGTAAAGAAAAATAGCCAAGAAAATTTTAAACGTGTACGCTTCACATATACGTACACACACGCACACTCACACACATACGCACAACAAAAAAGAAACCCTAAATAAATACTAAAAAGTGTAGGCAAAAAGGAGTCTGCTGCAGCGCGCGTGTATTTGACTGTGTGCGTGCGTTCGCGTGTATGTGTGTGTGTGTATACGTTCTTTTGGCTGTATTAGTGGCACTCTGCATAAGTTAGGAGCATCGCACCGCGCCGTCAAATTCGTCGGCGTCTTCGTGCGCTTCGCTTTGGCAGCCGCCTTGACGCTTCAGTTCTGACAGCCTCCGCCCCATGCGTCCTGCTAACTTGGCTTTGTTTTATTTGCCAGTAAATTGTTGTTGGCTTGGCCGCTCGTTGATTAGCCTGATGAGGCAGGCCGGCCCGCATATGCTTTTAATTGCCAAAAACGTGCAGACCCACATATCAAACAGCCAACAGACACACACACACACACACAGACAGACAGTTGGTTAGCTGTGATAAAGGAGCTCGCTTGTGCTAATGATACTGGCCCCAAAGCTTAATGGCTTAAAGTCTTAGCCAGCACCTCAAGCGCTGGCAACTGAACCGAGAAATATATACCTATATATACAAAGTATGTATATATATATATGTAAGATCTATGGATATACTTGACAGACTTTGGCAGAAACTTAACGGCAAAAGCTGTCTATAAAATCTGATTAAGTAATTTGCAAGTTGGCCATCATCAAATATGCGAGCGAGGCTCCAAAAGTTGTTGGCAGCTGTATGGGGCCATGCATATTAAAGCGCCTCGTTTTGTAGGTCATCAAATATGTAAAACTCATTAATAAACTCTCAGACAAAGGCCATAGGCTCAGCACGCAGTTTCAATGGCAGCTTACACGCACACACGCACACTGATACACATATTCATAACTGAAACTTAATTAATATGAGCTAAAGTCTTATCAGGCATAATACAGTGCAGCGCGTATGTTCATGTACGCCAATCAGTGTGTGTGTGTGTGGGTGTGTGTATGTGTATGTGTGCTTATGTAATTTATTTGGCAAGGCAAAAAGGCTTAGCTCCTCGCATGCCTTTTTAACAAGTTGAAACAACAGGCAAAACAGCCATGGCAACAATACAGCACACACTCACACACACACACACACACACATCCACACATTCGTGCACAATCGCATACAAAACAACAATATTTAAGCGTCTGGCACAAATTTGAAATGCTTTGCCACAAAATGCAATCAAAGCAAACGGTGAAGGCGAAATTTTTGGAAAGCAAAAACCACACACACGCAAGCATACACATACAGCCACACGCACACACACTCACTCACATACTAAACAAAACCACTTAACGAGATATGTGCAAATGTATAAAAAGGCACGAGAATTTAGGGGGAGAAAAAAAAACATATTACAATGAGGAGGCGCCGGAAGAAGCCTAAGCGGCATACAAATCAAATGCGCTTAGAGAGAAAAAAAGCTAAAATTAAAAAAGAAAACACACACACATCCATACATACATACATATAGCAATACAAAGGACCTACGCGCACTCACACACACACACACACACACATGCAGCTGGCTGGTGGCAGGAGCCAAGTAGCAAGCGTTTATGCTAAACAGAGTGTAACTGCCGGGGTTGCCTGTTTGCCAGTGACATTTCTGCAAAAAGCCAAGTCCAAAAGGGAACAAAAACATGGCCCAAAGCACAGCCGAACAGACCGACAGACAGACAGACAGCCACAGAGAGATGTCGAGAGGCAGAGACAGAGGCTGAGTGTGAGCTGAAGAGCCTCTGCCTTTGCAGACTTAGCATACTTACAGGAGCGCGCTCTCTCTCTCGCTCGCTCTCTCTCTCTCTCTCTCGGCGTGTAGCAGGCTCAAGCTATTTTTGGCTTCAACGAACTCTCTCTCTCTCTCTCTCTCTGTGCAGGCTGTGCTCTCTCTCGGCCAAATGGCACTAACCAACTGTCAACGGGTCTGGCCCGATTGCCAACGCGGCCAAACGCCATTCAAACGCGCAGCTGAGAAAATGTAACGGACGCAAGCAGCCAGCAAAAATATAAATAGTATATATATACATATATATTTGCATATATCTATATATATATATACATCATACACAGATACATATATATGTGTACAGTACATATATATATATATATCTACGGAAGACGAAAGCTGAACAAGCAGAAGAAGTGGCAAAAACCAAACAAAATTACAAGTATACAAAAGAGCTAACGCATCTGTGTGTGTGTGTGTGTGTGTGTGTGTGCGTGAGCGAGTGCGTATGTGTGTCAGTATAACTGTGCTGTTGATATGTGTCTGTGTGTCAGTATACTAATACGCATGCATAGATTGAATGCTGAATTTGCAAGGCTTTAGAAATTTGAAATGGAAAGCAAACTGAGAGCACCAGCTAGACAGCTTCATATATGTATAGACCTATATATATATATTTATACATTTTGTGAATAACTGATATTGCTAAAATTGAAGATTATTATTAAAAATATATTCTAATACTGAAAAAAATTCAAAATTCCGAAAGAAATTAATGCAATATTTTAAAAGTGCAAAAAAACTGTGAACTCAGATCAACACACTAAGCTCAAACTGTAAAGAATATATAAAAGAAATATTTGAAAAAATTAACTAAATAAATTTAAATAAATATATAATGACGAAAATTAATTCTAAAAGAAATAACGAAAAATAAAAATACATCATAGAAATATGTATTTATTATATGAAGATATGACGATGAATATGCATATGCATTTATACAAAATAAATATATAAAAAAATATAAAAGCAAAAAAAGTTTTTAAGCTAAATTAAAACAAAAGTAAAATAAAGTAGAAGAATTAAAAAAGAAGATATTTAAAAATAATCATAATAATCCAATAAATAAATATATTAATAATAAATAAAAATAATGCTATAATAATAATAATAATAATGCTCACGAAAAAAAAATTAAATAAATAAAATAAAAACAACTAAATTACAAATAAACAATCTTGAAAAAATTTCGAAAATTCAAAAATAAAATTACAAACTTGAGTTAATATTTTTCTATCATGCATAAAATACATGAAAATTAATCGGCAACTATCTAACTTTTTAATTCGAAAATCGGTAACTAAAATCACATAACAAACATGTTTTTTTGTTTTAATATTTCAGTGTTGAACTATTAGAAACTTAACGAAAGAAATTAAACAATAAGGAAAGACACACAACTTAATTGGAAATCGTAGTAAAAATGTCAAAGGCTAAAGCTAAAGGCAAATTAAATAAACGAACAATTCCCAAATCCAAGCATCTAAAATGAGACAATTCAACTGCAACAACAGCAACAACAACAATAACAACAACAGCGGCAGCAGACGCAGCTTAAAGGTCGAGGACAATAAAGGTGCAGTGCGAATATAGCAATAAGCAGGACACTTAACCAAAATAAACAACAAACAAAACAAAAAAAGAAGGCTATGGAATGGAGCATCTATTTGGATGACGAATTGAAAGAGCGACAAAGCGACAGAAATAGAAAAATGAACAGCATACTGAGCTAGAGTCGAGTCAACGCAGCAGCCGCAAAGCGAATGAGAGAGAGCAGAGCGAGGGCTAACACGAGGCAATTGGCAATTGATGTGGCCGCGGACAACAACAACAACAACAGCAGCAACAGGAACAACAACAAGGCAACGGAGCAGAGAGACAACCAACCAGGAGGCGGCACAACAACAACATCAGCACCAGCATCAGCATCAACAGGAGACAATCGCTGGTATAGTGTCTCATGCCAGTCGTCGTCTTCAGCGGCACACGCCCAGCGCAGTTGAGCTCGAATCGATCTCCAATTCAGTGCTGCTCTGTCAGCTATTGATGCTATTCGTTTTGGCATTGTTCTGGTTGAGCTACGCCTGGCCAGCGCGCAGTCAAACGATATCGCATTGGCAGCGCATGCATTGAGACATTAACTAACACACGCACACACACAGAGACACACTTACACAAAGACACACACATACACACATACACAGCTACTAACGCATGCACTGATGTACTGACTGAATGCCTCGCTGCCTAAACATACAACAACAACAACTAAATCACTGACTGAGCGACAGGAAATTAGAATTGGATAAGCAAAGAAGCTATACAACTGAACGAAGGCAAAGAAGAGGAAGAAGAAGAAGAAGAAGCAGAGATCATTACTTAACTAAATACTGCAACTGTAACTGTAAAACATCAACTAATACTTACTTTATACCAACAATAACAACAACAACAACAACAAATTACATTTTTAATGCCACGCTAAAGCAACAAAAACAAAAACCAAACGAGAAAATTTTTAACTAAGCAATAATTCGCACCCTTCCAAGTCAAAAGTAAACCCTTTTGACTTTTGCCACGCACCACAACAGCAACAACAACAACTAATTGCACCACCATGAGTGTTTCAGCAATGGATAAATTAACTATACTAACGCCCCGCACCCGGACGCCCCTGCTAACAATTTGGCTAGCCATAAATATGGCGCTAATCGTACAGGAGACGGGCCCCAAACGGAGCACCACAGTGCAATCTGCGTAAGTTATGCAAATTGATTGATCTGAATAGATGTAAGCCTTCTGTAATGGGGAACTGTATAATATCTTCGTTCTCATGAGTCCACTAAAGAAATAAAAGCTGATTGACTGATTGCTAGACTAAATATGTATCGAATGGATTATATATCTTTAGTCTATGAATCAATTGATCAATGTATCTAATATCAAAAGGAATGTTAGAGTACACAGTCGATTGATTGATTGATTTACTTTATGCATATGTAATCTTTCTGTATAGGAAAATTCGCCCATGTAAATATTGTTTAATAGGAATAAAAACAGAGCATAGATTAATTACTATAAAGACACATATATATTGATTGATATTACTGAGCAGCATAATACAAATTTTTCCGATTATCCGATTGATATATCAGCAAATTGACTTTTTGACACCCCCTAAATGAAAATACATTTGCCTAAGAGCCAAGCGTAAGTGTTGATTGAAACAATTAGTTGATTATTTGATTTACATGGTTAGGCTGATACTTTGGAACTCTTGTCGTCATTCCAGTCAGAATAGATATAATTAATGAAGTTCACATAAACAAGTTATTCTATTTGTGGTGGAATGAGAAACTTCAATAGTTGTTTGAATGATAGACTTTGTGTAATTAAAACGAAACTTTGAGATAAAAGTTAGTTAGAGATAATAGTTAGCATAGTTTGATATACTTCCAAGTAAAAAGGATTATCCACATAAAAAGAATTATTCAATGCTAAATGGAGGTAAGAGTTAGTACCGATGCTATGATATACTTCGAAGTGCTTAAAACAGATTTCTCAAGACTATCATTTCATATTCCAATCTACTTGGCTTAGAGATTGAGATAGTAATAGAGAGATATCATATGGATAGAGTGCTAAGAAGTTAGTCTCTTGAGGCTCAGTTTATGTTGAGATTATGTAAATATATTCGATACACAGATATAGTTATAATTAAACTTATAGTATTCATATAAAAATCACTATATATATCCCATATATGCAAATATATATTCCTCTCACTCAACCTATCCAAAATAAATTGCTGAATAAAAAATAAAGCGCTTAAGCTCAATATTTTAATAACAATAAATTTTATTGTAGCGACAGTTTGCTGCAATGCACAACTGCAGCAAGTGCTGTGTGTGTTTGAGTGTCTGTGTGTATGTGTGTCGCAATGGAGTCATAGTTCATGCTAATTTATGATTATACAAAATTAGTTGACTGCGGCTGGCTCTGGCGCTGCCACTGAAAAATGTTCAGCGTGGCTAATTAGGCGCAATGACAGCTTGTTTTCGACCAGGTCAACAGTAAATGCTACAGTAAATACTGCTACAGTGAGGACGCGTTTTGTTTTTTTTTTTTTTACTTTCGAAATAAATGTTAGCAATTTATTAAGCTCGCATTTGCATGCGGCCCAAGGGCCATTAAAAAGCGACGCAGGCTAAAAAATGACAACTGGCTGGCGCAGCACTCGTAATTACCAACTGGCTAGGTACAGGGTAAAAGGGGAGCGCGAAGGGCTGCCACATACCCCTTACATATTAAAGAGAAAGGTAGTTTGTTTGGCTTTCGAGAGGTGCATGCGACATATTTGATTAGCGGGCCAAAAGAAATGTCCACAATTGTGGCATTTGGCAATGTTTTTGCTTTTCCTTTTCGGGTTAACGTTCATTAGGCCATATTTACGTGCAGTGAAAAAAGAGAATGACAGAGGTTGAGGTAGTGTAGACACACACTCACACACACACTCACACACATACATAACATTTGCATAAGCCGCCCAAAGCAGGCAATTGAAGTAAATCAAATGGCTGGGCCCAAAGTCTCCGAGGCGACTGCCACTAACTAGAGCTGAGACATACAAATGCACGTTTATGGGCTTAGCCGATCGCGTGTAGTGCCTATCCAGCTGGGCGGGGCAGGCAAAGGCAGAGGCAGAGATGGGGCCGCGAATGTCGTGGAAATGTGGCAAGTGGCACGATTTTCAGCACAGTTGGCTGCTTATTTGGGCCAGGCGGCATTGGAGTTGACTTTACGCCACTTTTTCATGCAACATTGCACAGCCAACACACATCCCGCACATGCAGCACAGCAAATGATAGCCTTGCTTGTACACACACACGCACTCACACACATACAGGGAGTAAGTTGCCGCCAAGAAAGGTTAAAGGCCAAAGCAACACAACGACACAATTTGTGCGAGCACAAAAAAAAATGAAATCAAAGAGGAAAAAAAGTGCGACGCCTGCTGCTGTTCACTTTAGACCCAACAACTTCCTGCCTGGCTGGAGACTGGACACGGCTGGCACTAGCTGCTGCTGCTGCTGCTTCTGCTCCTGCTCCTGCTCCTCCTCTCCTTCTGCTTCTTCTATCGCCCGCTGTGCCCTGTTGTGCGGCACTTGCCACACAAGTGCGCACTTCACTTGGAATTTATTGATGGCAGATAATGCCGAAGTGCCAGCGACAAAGCAACACCGCCCAACTGACGACAGCAGCAGCAATGTGTATTGGTAGTGCGTGTGTGTGTGTGTGTTTGTGTGTTTGTGTGTGCCAAGCTGCATCGTTCAGCAGCATGAAAGTAGATTGTTTTGATAGGGCTTGGCCGACTCGCAAATGCACTAAAAACAGATGTGAGCAGAAGAGTTGGGGTCTGAAATATACTTGATTTCATGTGAAATATGTTGACATTTATCTATTTTATTATTATTAAATTTTTCATTTTTAAGAATATGAAATATAAAATAAATTTAAAAAAATAAAAAAAATATAATAATTTATAGAAAATCAAGAATATGAATATTAACAAAAAACTCAACAACAAATAATGTTGAATGTAATTTATTTATTAAATTACCTATAACTTTTATACGTCATCTAGAATTTAGAAACTAGGCCGTAAATTCTGATCAAATTTTCATGCAAGTTTTCCTTATTTTCCCGTTACACATTCGATAACCTAGGACCCATGCCCTATGCAAGTGTATTTGCAAAAAAATATCCTGCCCGAGACGCTGCCAGCAGCTGGGACAACAGTTCGCCGTCGAGTGCCATTGAGCGTAAATTGTTGTTTCTTCACATTTTGAGGATGATTGAGAATATCCACAAAGGGTCTGGCCACAGACAGAATAGAGAATGATGACGAAGAGGGCGAAAGGGGCTACCTAGCTAGCTAGCTAGCTGGGTCGCTGTTCGGCCAGCCTTTGCCATTTTCAATGCGCTTTTCAAATATTTAATAAAGCCCAGACACGGCAGCAGGCAGCATTGGCCCCAGCCGTTTCACTCCTCAATTGTATCTCGTAATGCAATTCGCTCAGCAACATTTTAGCCTTTTCTTTTTCAATATACTTGCCAGCCTTAGCCTGGTTGCTAGACTCTTTTTGTGTGCTTCTGCTGTCTGTTGATGTTCATTTTGAAAATGTCAAGGACTTGTCAGAGTAATGCAGTTTTTTTATGCATTTCCCCTCACATTTAGCTGTTGAATCAATTGAATTTGAAATTTGATTTCATCAAAGCACAATCTAATGCTATGCTTAAGCATATCCCATAAGTGAAGTAAGTGAGAGTAAAGTGAGAAATTTTCTCTTATGGGGTATATAATATATAGCTATGTCTATGCAGACCTTCTTTGCCTATATATAAATATGATTAAAAAGAATGATTTTTAATGAAAAAAAAAAAATATATATATATAAAATATATATCAGTCTTCTCTTCAATTTTTTCTCCAATTGTTGCCTCAATTTCGAGCATATTTCTAATCCCTCAAATATGTTTCTCTTTGTTCGATTCAATAATGTTGTCACACCCACACAAAAATCTAGCTTTTATGCTGTTTGTGTGTTTGTGTGTGTTTGCGTGGGCGTGGTCAGCTTCTAACATGTTTATCCGGCCATTTTTCCTGTGCTCATGCTCCAAGCATCAGCTTTCGCTTCTGAAATATGTTTATTTTTAGGAAACGTCAGGCATCAAGTTATCACTTTATTAAAAAACGCTTAGTCACATGTTGGGTTTCACAATTGCCGCGTAAAAGTCCCGAGTCACCCACCCACACCCACACACACATACACACGGAGAGAAAGTCGTTTTACTGCGTAAAATAAAGGCCTTTGCCAAGTTGTGCTTATCTTGAAGCTGGCAATGCCAGCTAGACTTTTGTCTGACATGGGTGTCCCGGATTTGGAGAGCGAAAGAGTGAGCAGGAGAGAAAGAGAGAGGAAGAGTAGATGTGGTTCTTGCTGAGTGGCAGCAAGATAATGTTTTGCTAGCTGCTTTTTCATTTTTATTTTTTTGCTTTTGCTTTTGCTTCGCATTTCCGTTTTGTTTTAACATAACACTTGAATTTATGCAATGGCGCGTGTCCAACGCAGCGTATACGTAATGGCCCAACGCTAAAAGTGCCACTAAAAACGACAATGACAACGGCAACGGCAATGGCAACAGCAACAGCAACAGCAACAATCACAACAACAGCAGCAGCGGCAACAAACAATAACAAAGATATTTCTTACATTTTCATTTGCTGCCGAGCAACATAAGTTACGCAGGGGCGTTGCCACACACACACACACACCAGCATACTGCCACACACACACACACACACACAGAGAGGTACAAAGGCAAGCATTCAATGTGAGCAGCAACGCTACAGATAAGACAACAAAACAACTGTGGCCAGCGATAATATGGCGGATGGTGTTGGCATAACACTTGGCGACACGTTTTGGGCTTGGACCTAGCGCTCGCTGCTGCGCATGACATTCTATTGTTGTTGTTGTTGTTGCTGCTGCGGCTGTTACAACTTTTATTGTGCTGCTGCTGCTGCTGCTGCTTGAAACTTGTGCAAGCCACTTTGCAATTTTGTGTGTTACTGAAAGGAGCAGAGAAAAAAGCATTGCCTACTTATGCGCGCAGTGCGCCTGCACAATGGGCCAAATAAGCACTTCTGGTGTTCAAAAATGTATGGCTGAAAATGGAAGTTTGTAGCGAAGTTTTAAGAGTTTTCACCAACATTCTCTAGCTGAAACTTAAATAAAATTTTTTATTTTGCATTAACTTTTCGGAAAGTTTCAGCATGAGAATTTCCAATTAGAACTTTTATTTTGCTCGAAAAGTTGTTTTATTTCTATTACCATTATATGCATTCACATTATTTCTTAGGTGTAATAAACATATTTATGCAGCAGTAAATATAACTTTTTATTAGTTCATGCACTTGCAGCAATTGCCTCAGGAAACATGTATATTACAATAAAAATATAATTTATGAACTGGGCCACGCCCACGGCAGATTATTTTGTCCATATTAATCAAGTTATTATAACAAAAATTATAGAGTATAAATAATTTGGAAGAAATTCAGGCTTTACTTGGTGTACATATAAATATTTTTATAAATTTTGCATACCCTGTAATATATGAGAGTCTTTTATCAAACGCTCATGATAGACGAATTATCATGCTCTTGCTTTACAAATCAACATTGAGTCTATAAGCAAATACTTTGCTTGAAGTGCTTATATTGTATACCCTGTAGTCTAAAAGCGTTGGGCATTAGCATTTTTGACAGTTACTGCGAGGACTGTGAAAAAAAATGTTTTAAAATTATGAAACAAATATATGAACATTATTTCTTCTACATTTAAATCGTCTGCTCTAAATCAAATACCCTGTAATTTTTTGAAAGGAGTTGAGCACTTTTTCTGGCCATCATTCGAAATTTAAAATATATAAATTATATTTTTAATAATATATAAAATAATAATATATATATTTATATCACCTATGCCTTTATTAAATACAGGGCAACTGCCAGTTTATCACTTTCGTTGGCTAAGCAGCTAGCAAAGCCTTACAATAAGATAACAAACAGTCAATTCAACTTGTGTGCTTGCTATATGTCTCAATAGGCAAATATTTGGACGCTGCTTGAATATTTTCGAGTGCACTCAATAGCCAAGTAATCCACAGAGACACACACATATGTACACACACACTCACACAGTTATTTACACATGTCTCCCCCTCGTGTTTGCACTGTGGCGTCTGTCCTCGCGCAGCTGCATAAATAAGTAGATAAAATGTGGCATTATAATTAGTTCAGCTCATTTGCATATGACGTATACGACATGCTGTATACGGCCGGCCACGCCCCAATACTGCTTGCCTAGCAATTGCCAGCGCAGAGCGCTGTCAGATTACACATTTTCGCTGTCCTCTTCTGCAGCCGCCGTTTCTGACATGCTTTATGTACAAATATTGTAATAGGCGCAATAACAAATATTGCGCATACGCAGCGGTGTAGGCGCGTATGAAGTGCTGCCATCTTAAACTCAAATCAAATAGCAATCAAAACTTTTTCATTATCCAAAAGGCAAAACCGCATATCAACTGTTGGCAGCCCATCAACTGAAACAACAACAACAACGACAACGACAACAAGTGTAGGAGCTAGAAGCTTGTCTTTTTATTGTATACTCATCTATATGCGTGTATGTATATGTCTGTATGTGTGTGTGTGTATTTACAAATAGGCTGCCATTTTTTTTTTTTTTTTCATTTTGCGGCGGCTTTTGGCTTAATGCGTATACATAAAAGAGACTCAAAGAGAGAGAGAGAAAGGCCGAATGAGAGTAAGAGCGAGCGAGCGAGCGAGAGAGAGAGAGAGTTAGAGAGCGTGTGCGCTCAGTCGAGACTGCCTTGATTACAGCTTACAGCTGCTTGCTAAATTAAAAGCAATTCAGCTCTAATAATAATTGAATCAAAATTTATATGAAAATTTTCAAAATGTGACAAAAGGAAAACGAAAAGCGAACAACGAAAAATGAAGCATTTTCTTGAACTGCGCGCGCGCACAAAGCAACTCATATTGGGTGTTTATTTGCAGGCGTAACTTTTATTAAATTGTGATTTCACTCACGCACACACAAGAGCGGCAAGCACACACACACACACACACATACACTCGAGCAAGACAGTTAAAATGCCAACAAACGCGCTTTAATAGCACAGTTTAGCGCAGAATAGACGCAAATAAACAGAGTCATGCCAGGGACTTGCCATAAATAATACACACAAGCACACACACACTCACATACAGCACATATATGTGCACTCACATAAATAAATATATAAAATATATACATATATATACATTTATATATATACACATATATGTTTATGTGGCCCGTTTGACTGTTTGACTTTGCGTGGGTGTGTGCACTTGGTACCAAATAAAGTAAATGTAGCACAAAAGCACCCACACACACACATGCATACATGTAAACACACATGCAGGCAGTAATACACTCACACACAGACACATGTACCTGCAGCAGCCTTTTCCATTTCATCCGTTTTTATACCCTGTAGCCATAAAATGTCTAGCAACGCAAGGCCTTAATAAAGTTGTATAAATGTTGATGACAGCCAAGAGCTCTGGCAGCTAGCAGCCTATAGAACAAATAACTTATATGTATACATACATTATATGTCCTTATTTATATATCTTTTACAATATGCTTAAATAAATGCATATAGAAAATTTGTTATGTGAAGCACTTTTCTAATATACTGGATATATGTTATGTACTCTGGATGTATGTGAAATAAAACATGACTGTGATACATATACAAATGAATAGACTGTATTCAAGTAACGACGGGACAAATGAATATCGGATTTGAAGATAATGTCTCGTAATAAATATAAAAGAAATCAACGAGACAATGGAACATGGGTTAAGATTTCATAAAAAAGTTCTCTCAGTCTATCTCCTTATCTCACTAACAGTCACTCTCTCTCTCTCTCTTTCTCACTACCCGTCTCTTTCTCTTGTTCTCTTTCTCATTATCTCTCAATTTCTCTCTTAGGCCTTTGGGTGTTTGATTCTTTTTCTTGAGTTTTCGGACTATGTCTCAGATCTTAAAAAGAAATTCCTCCATTTCCTGTAGGATTACATCAATGTATATTTTTTAAATTTTTATTACAGATTTTTCCAATTTCACTCCAAAATTGAACTATTTATTTTACTTTAAAATGTTATTCTTCTTCTTTGTCTTTAATATAGAACTGGCGGCGGCAGCATGTTGGGTGATGTAAACATATCCGCTATACTCGACTCCTTTAGTGTTAGTTACGACAAAAGAGTAAGACCCAATTATGGTGGTAAGTACGAGCAAATAACCATTTACAATAGATAAACATTAATATATGAAGAACAGCTAGACAACACTATAAAAAAAAAAAATATAGGCTAAACGCGGCTTGAATGCGAGGGGGCACCAACTCTATATATCAACAACAACCAAATATTTATAATGTAGCTAAGGCCGTTGCCTCATCATATATCTAGTTTTCTTTTAACTGACTAGCGTTATATACATATATATATTCCATATAAAACAATATATATCAGTATATATATATACCTATATAATCATGCCGTGTTTCAGGACCTCCTGTCGAAGTCGGAGTCACCATGTATGTGCTATCAATCAGCTCGCTCTCAGAAGTGAAAATGGTACAAACTAAATGAAACTTTGTACCTTAAAATAATTTTTTTGTAACGTTAAGCGCTCTCTCTCTCTCTCTATGTATATCTCTCTGTCTCTCTCTCTAACTCGCTCGCATAATCTCTGTCTCTGTTGTTGGAATTGTTTATGTTTTCATGATTTTTTTTCTATTTAGATTTCACTTTACTTTAGTATTTGAATTCTCAATAAAACACTGCTTCAGTTATATAACAACACACACACACATACAAATATATATAAATATATATATAAATAAATATTTATTAATAAACACTTGTTTTTGTTTCTGAAACACGAGTTCGTAGTACAATTTGTATAAAAGTAATTTTCTTCATTTGTGTTTCCTTCTGGCTTTAATTATCAGTTTTTTAGCTCTTCTGTTTCTTTCAATTATGATTTAGCTTATCTTAATTTGAACTTCTTGTAGGTTTCTCGCCAGTTAGTGCTGACTCCTCTTAGGTTCAAACTGTTCGAATAATAGGTACCGAAAGTGAGGCAACCAGAAAAGAAACGAAATCTTGAAGTTGATCTTGAACTTGTTTATTTTAGAACTAACTACAAAACTAAACTTAAGATTGGCAATGCTTTTTTCCTAATATACGACTCTCACGCTTTTACTTAGTGTGTAAAACGAGATTCACTCTCACTCTCTCTGTCTCTCTCTGTGTCAATTTTGTTCTGTAATTGGTTACGAGCACAATTAAACAAGCTTTCCTTACCCTAATTACCTAATTAATCCAATCACACAACAATCTAGAGATTCATCCAACACTCACAATTCCGAAAAGAAAAAAATCAAAGTTAACCTTCGTTTAGCCATTTCATTGTAGATTTTTTGTTCGTCTCCTTCTACTTCCTGATTTTTAATGAGCTCTCTGTCTCCCACACCCCGAAACCACTCACTCACGCATATCATACAAGGCTTTAAGATACAAATTCTCTTAACTTGCAGCTGCCAACAATTCTGAGCCACTCAAAGCTTTTTCAAATGGTGTGTTTAACCGCTTTCACAGCAAACGATAAATTATAAATAATTATAGAAAATGAAACTATTGTTTTTTCATTACGCTACCGTTTATAGCTTTAATAGAGCTGTGCAAAAACATAACAAACAAAAAAATATACTTAGAAAAAAACTCGAATAGTTGATTTGGTTTTCATTCGGCGCGTGCAATAAGACAAAAGCAAAACCTCAAGCACAACCAAATAAAAAATAGAAAAACGCGCACAACTGTACTTTATATACTTAATTTTGCCTATAAAAAATTAAAAATAATAATAATGTGACAACAACAAAGTATTATATAGGGATAAGGACATTAAATAGTTGACAGTGCTAGCAAAAAGTCTGCTGCCTGTCTGCTTTTCATGGTGTGTGTGTAAGATTCATACAATAATTTTTTGGTTACACTAACAACAACTACAACAACAACAAAACGACAACAATAACAACCACAACAACAGCGACAGTCAAACACAAAAATAGCAAGAAAAAAAAAAGAAAATACCTCAATCGTCAATGTGTGTGTGTATATGTTGCAGGTCCCCCTGTGGAGGTCGGCGTCACAATGTATGTGCTCAGTATCAGTTCGGTTTCGGAAGTTCTCATGGTACATACCAACCAAATATAATTTAAAAAAAAAAAAAAACATCATTACCAACAACAACAAAATATATATATAAAAAAGAAAAAATAGAAAATCAAATTTTCTGTTTTCTTTCAAAACAAAAAAAAAAAGAAATCATATGTCTTCCTAATTTAACTCTCAACCAAAAATCTGTACCCCTTATCTCTCTCTGTCATACTCTCCTATTCTCTCTCTCTCTCTCTCTCTCTCTCTCTCTCTGTCCTTTTTGCCTTTACTCTCGCTTAACACACATTTTGTGTCCACAATTTATTCATAGTTAATTTCGCTTGATTTTAATTTCATATTATCAACTCATTTTTCATTTGAAAACATTGAAAGCAAATTGCAAAATTTCCAAATGCATATATATTCATTATACAAAAATATTTAAACATTATTTTAAATATATATATATATAAACATATATTCTAAAAAACAAAATTTTTAACAATTAAATGTTGTGTTCATAATTGTTTTTTTTGCAATGCCATTAAATTTGTCCTTGAGCCAAAATAAAGTACAAATCAAAAAACAACTCATATAACCTATTTTCAATTGGAATTTCATAGACAATCGGGAAAATCTATCTAAGTTTTAATCTTTTGCTACATTACTCTTTGCCTCGTGTTCCATTCTATGCTTTAAATCTAAAAGCTTAAATCTAAAAATAAAGCAATATCTAAAATTTTTATTTTAAACATAACTTGCTCGACTCCTCATCTTAAATTTTTTTTTCCTTTTTTTTTTTTATTGCATCCCACACTAATTGGATAATCTTCATTAATTTTGTATGCAAATGTTATTCTATTCAAAGGCTTTAAGCTTCAAAATTTGTCCACGAATCGTACTTTATTATGGCCAATGGCAAACGATAATCACAGCAGTCCCCACAGACAAAAGACTGCGCGCATGCGTTTTTGTTAAAAAAAAAAATATTTATGAAAATATGAATGAATATGAATCATGTATGTCATATAGCATACTCGTACAATATATGCATATATTCAACTCAATGTCATATGTGATATACATATATATATACAACTACTCAATATAGCAAAACGTATATAAGTGTTCAAGATACTTCTGTGTTTAATTTTTAACATTTTCGACAGGTCAACTGAGCGCTACAGCAAAAAGAAAAGAAAAGAAAATAAATAAATTAAATTAATTCATATTTTGCTTATTCTTTCGAAAATTAATCAATTTTTTAGAGATTTTCGTTCATCAGCCAAAGACTTAAAAAGACTTAAAACATACAGACAATTGGATAAACACAAATTTCTGTTCTAATTCCTTTAATACTCCACTTAATAAAGTAAACATCATGGAAGTTCTGCATTTGACTATATTATAGTTTTCTTCCCCCACGATTTTTCTAACGATTGGATAAATTGGCTCGAAATTTAGCTAAATATATATATATATATAACACTTGCTAACAAACACTTCACTTGAAATGAGGTCGCTAGAGAATAGCATTCGATTGGCCCCCACCCAAGTAAGAAAACAAATAAAAACTGAAAAGTAAAATACTTTTGCGAGCAATGCCAAAACCCATATATGTATAAATATATGTGTGAAATCAGATACACCGTACTTAAGCACCCTCAATACGCTACACATACTAACTGCACCGTTACCGGAGCGCACAATGCTGGGCGAATTGACACGTGCACTGTCTTTTTCTGGTTTTATTTGCTGGGCTTTGGCATCCAGTCAATAGCAATCAATTTATGTGAAATAAACGTGGTTAACATAACAGCAACATGTACACGAGATCGGGGCAATGCAAACACAAAACACGGCACACGAAACAATACCCAGCCGCCTCATGCCAACAGCAATAACAACAAAAACGACAACAATTTTGTAGTTTCTGTCATGCATACACCTTAACAGCAAAACTAAAACATGCGCATAAACATACTATTATATAACTTTATTTCATTTATAAGTTTACACTTTCTATTTCGTTGAAAAGAAAAACACACACACTCATAAAACGAATAAAATGGGTATCTGAAAGATTGTTAAAAATAAAACGAATAGAAACATGCCAAAAATTTCAGCAAGTGATACTAATCGAAGCTTGAGAAGCAAATGTGGTTTTATATATAGGATGGAAACACGGATAAAGATATACAATAGGGGCCAATACATAGATATTTATGATGATACAGATACAGATACAGATACAGATACAGATACAGATACAGATACAGATACAGATACAGATACAGATACAGATACAGATACAGATACAGATACAGATACAGATACAGATACAGATACAGATACAGATACAGATACAGATACAGATACAGATACAGATACAGATACAGATACAGATACAGATACAGATACAGATACAGATACAGATACAGATACAGATACAGATACAGATACAGATACAGATACAGATACAGATACAGATACAGATACAGATACAGATACAGATACAGATACAGATACAGATACAGATACAGATACAGATACAGATACAGATACAGATACAGATACAGATACAGATACAGATACAGATACAGATACAGATACAGATACAGATACAGATACAGATACAGATACAGATACAGATACAGATACAGATACATATACAGATACAGATACAGATACAGATACAGATACAGATACAATACGATAGATAAATAGGATATAAATATATAATTATATTAAAGGTACCTTGACTATATAAATATAATATATAATTTATGATTTTGCCTAGAGTGGAACCTGTATATATAAATATATAGTATATGAACACCTATATATATAACTGTCTGAACAGCCCTTTCTTATTTTTTGCTGTTCTTAAACCTTTGTTCAAGTTTTGTTTTTGGCGTGCCTGTACCGAGTGGAAACCAAATCTGCTAGAGTTGAACTTAAGCCTGAAACGTAGATTAAATAATTTATAAAAGGCGTTGAGAATTGCATAAATTATGTCACGAGTGCCTCGGGCGATTCTGTGATCAAGTTAATACATACGATAAAAGTACCTAAAAGTACCTCAGCTATGCGATTTCTTACAAATATCACTTGCATCTAAAGAATTTATATTTAATTTTGTTGACTTTATTATTTGAAGAGTACGGAAAACGATTTGTGTGAAGTCCAATCCTATAGCAACCAACATACACAATACACATACAAATGTTTAAACACCTATTGACTGTACTATAACAAAAATAATTCCTAAGCTCCCAAACCTCGCCTTGCCTAGCTCCAGTACCGCTTCCTTAAGTAAATATAACTATATAGAACGCTTTAGCTTTAAGGCACTGCCAACAGCCGCAGCAGCAGGACAACAAAGAGCCAAGCCAAGACAAGCCAAACCAAGCTAGCAAAAGTTAAGATCTCTCTCTCTCTCGCTCTCTGTCTCTCTCTGTCTAACTCTTTAGCCATCTTTCTCTCTTTTGCTGTACAAATGGATTTTATATAGTCATTTGCCTTAGATTTAGCGAACAAAATAATACCTAAAATATAAGTAAAAAATCTCTCAAGTAAACAGAATATCTCTAAACTACTTCACATCACAGCAAATCAAACAATTTGTGAGAGGTTTCTGAACTGCTTACTGTATATAAGCTTATCTACTTTTACCATTCTTTCAACTTGATTTCATTTGATTTTTCGTTTCAAGCTTTTCAGTTTGCTTAATTTCAGTTTTTTTTTTTTTTCAATTTACAAAATATATATTATTGCTGCCCAAAATATTGTAAGTTTGATGTTTTTGCATGCCTGAAACTTAAATGTAATTTTAGACCCACCCCTGCCAAAAAAACATAAAAAGAAAAGGCCCGTCCAAGTCCATTATATTTATAAATTGTTGCACGATATTGTTAACTTTTCCAATAATTTCAGTTGTTTTGTGAATTTTCTTTGTGTTGTGTCTTATATAAAACGCATTTATTATTTTCATAATTAGCGAACTCTATAAATATACATATATATATCTAATATGAACTCTATTAAATCTGTGCGAAATTTTATTCTATTTTCCGAAATTCTTTAAACAAAATTTTCTAAAACTTACTTTTCAATATATCTATATTAGTTTTATATATTCAATAATTTTTTATTTTATTATACATATATATAATATTTAGTCCTAACTGCTATCAAGTTTACTAATAAGAAACAAACATCTCTTTTTGCTCCCACTTTGTAATTGAAATCGAAATCAATATACAAAAAAAAAAAAAAAAAAAAAAAAAAAAACAAAAAACAAATACGTATGATTATCGTATACGATATAGGACTTTACATTGGATTTTTACTTTCGTCAATTTTGGACCGATCCTCGTTTAGCGTATAGAAAACGACCTGGTGTAGAAACACTATCGGTTGGATCAGAATTCATAAAGAATATTTGGGTACCTGACACCTTTTTTGTAAATGAAAAACAATCATATTTTCACATTGCAACAACCAGTAATGAATTCATTCGTGTGCATCATTCTGGATCGATAACAAGAAGTATTAGGTAAAAATCAACTATCTTCAGCAAATTCAATGCAAAATTTTAAAATTTTTTACAATCTATATGTGTATGTGTGTAACTAACTAACAAAAAACAAAATACATTTTTTATTAAAAAAAAAAAAAAAAACTATTGACTGCAAATAGTAAAGAAAAAAAAATATATATTTACTAACAAAAAAATTATTTTTTTTTTGCTCTTTATTAATTCTTAACCCTTCTTGCAACTTTGTACTGTTTTTTGATGTGTGTGTATAAATGGATGTTGTAATTTACTAATCCAAAAACAAAAATGTTATATTTAAAATTATTTTAAAAACAAAAGTATATTTATCGATATGAAACGAAAAGTTCAACAAAATGAAAAACAGTTTTCAATCAAGTGAGTTCAATTGGCAAAAGTGAAAGCGATCGAAAGTTGGCGATTCTTACTATATATATTCCGAGAGTACTTGAAATAGTAGTAAAAAGGGAAGAAAATATTAAAATATCTATTTTGCATATTTCATTGCACAGAATGAAGTTTGCAAAGGAAATTGTAGAAAACCCTCCTCTGGGAAATCCCTTTCAGGCAGGTTACCAGTTGCAGTATCTCATGTGTCTTTTACACCACAAAAAGGTTGCGCACTGGTCACAGTAGCTACTGTAGCTACTGGGCATATAATTTTCTACTACCTTTAAACGAAGAATCTGTCCAAAATCTATGTATCAATAACCAGCTGCCGACTAAAAACTCCAAACTCAAACCAAACTCAACTCCAACTCAAAACTAAACTATATTTATATAAATATATCTATATATGCTATTATGTATACGTAGTATTTAGGTCACAAAACCTCATGTTAATAACAATAAAAAAAAATTTTAATTACCCTGCGCCACTCGCCTCACTCAACTACAAAAATAACCAAATGCCACTCGTATCACTAACAAAAAATACAAATGTTGTTTCTTAACAATTAAATATAAATGAATGTAAAGTCATATCCAATTGAACTCGCTCTACTAGAACAAAAAAATATATATATATTAAAAACAAAGAAAACAACTTTGCCCGCCCCCCTAATAATCCCTTAAATGTCGTAAATTATTTGCTCCTCCTCTGCTTATTTAATTGTTGTGTAACCATTAGCTGTGTTCATTCGCCAACTCTTTCAAAAACTTACTAATTATCTTCTTCTCTATATTAACTTCCCGTTCCACAAAACAAAAACATAAATGAAACTTTCCAGATTGACTATCACCGCATCGTGTCCAATGAATCTGCAATATTTTCCAATGGATCGACAGCTCTGTCACATTGAGATCGAAAGCTGTAAGTACTGTGGATAATTACTTTAACAAATCAAATTTAACAATAAAAAAAAAGGCAAAAAAAAAAATAAAATTAATATCAATAATAAAATTTTAATATCGATATAAAATAAAATTGTAAATGTACTTGCATATCGATAAATATATACATAAAAATATATATGTATCGATAAGAAATGAACTCATTCAGAATATGAAGCACTTTATCAGTAAAAACCCTAGAAGTGGCCAAAGTAAAGTGCCGATGTGCTTAGTGCTGGGTAATACTCAACTGCCCCGACCAAAACGATAAATATCGATAACTCTGTTTTATATCTTATATATATATTTATAGTTATAGCCCTTAGCTAATTGCATCCGCACAAAATTTTGGCCACTAAGCTTAAGGCCGCGCGCTGTTTGTTCAGTGTGGGCAGAAAAAAACATTTTAAAGAAAGCAAATAATAAAGCAAAAAGTGTTAAAATAAGCGCTATAAACACGCAGAGAACATACAACGATAATCGTATACCGTATATCGAAAAAGTAAAGAAACTTTAGTTATACAGGGCCCTGCGTACCTTTTCTTCAAAATCAAATTAAGGATTTTTCTCTATAGTAAATCGAAAATCGACATAGCTCTAGATAGTGCTTACTGCGTACATATTTATATACATCTATATATATATACATACTATTGCCCAAGTTGTTTATGATTTTCGAGACCATTGTTTGCACAGCCGCCAAATCAGTTAAAACTTAATCGTCTAAAATTTTATTCAAACGAATTATCCAGCAGCCATACAACGTACAACTCTTTAATTCTCATGTTTCATTCATGTGTCCCCGCCCTTCCAATAAAAATAAAAATAAATCAACAAAAACAACAACAATCTCGCAGATCAACTAACATGATATATGTCTGTATATCATATCGTAACATTAAAGCGAATGAATTCATAAGATTGGTTGGTTTTCGGTCGCCTTCTCACTTACAGCAACCGCAGAAGGCTCCTGATTGTGATCGATCGACTTGAACAGAGCCAAAAGAAACCAAAATATAAGAAATATATATGCTTAATAATAAATTATCTAAAATTATAGCAAATATCCATATACTTAAAAACAATTCAATGTATATTATAAAACGAACTTTTTATAGCACGCTTTAAAACCAAGATCTCACAAACACACACACACATAAGCAATCTCTATGTAAATACATATGAAATATGATTAACTTCTTTGTCAAAACACTCGCTCACCCTAGTTTTATATATAACTTATTTAAAATTTAAGTCTAAGCTAATTGTAACACCCCAAAGTGAAAACAATTTTGTTACTATACAAAATAGAGTTGTCATGACGTTCAGAATAAGTTCAATTGAACAAGTGATGATATCGGAACTACTAAAAATAAATATACCTATTGACTATGTCTTTTTAATGATGTAGTGAACTAGTGAAACAGTAAACGTGAACTAATAAACCTACTTTAGAAATCATGAACTAGTACAAAATTGAACTAGATACTAGCGCGCTAGTAAGTTGGTTTACTAGTAAATTTGAAACTAGTATGTAAACTATTAAACTGCTTTTTGTTGTTATTCAAAAGTTCAATTACGGTTCATCTTGATCAATCATTCGTACATTCCTTGGAACTAACTAGCTATTCATATGATTGTATTCACCAATACGACTAAACCTGATTGAATTGAACTTATTCAAAGTCAACTCTCCTTCACCTTCACAAAACAACAACAAACGAAACAAACAACAATTACAATAATTAATTAACCACCTGCCCCCTTTTTGCAACAACAACAACAACTACCACTACAACAACTACATCAACAATAACTGCATCCAGTTGGTTACACGATGCGAGATATCCGATATTTCTGGAGAGATGGACTGAGTAGTGTGGGAATGAGCAGTGAGGTCGAACTACCGCAGTTCCGCGTTTTGGGACACAGGCAGAGGGCGACCGAAATAAACCTAACCACAGGTACCCTCCATACATTACAAATTCATACCAGAATCCAAAAACAGATCCAAAAAAAAACAACAATTACCAAAACATTGTGAATGAAACACACACAAAACAGTTTTCTTTGTTGTGACTTAAAAAAATATAATAAAAACACTTTTCATTATTTTAATTTACTTTCATTATTACGTAATCTGTTTTAATTTCCTTTCAAAAGGGTTTATAGCGCATTTATATATATCTCTCTCTCTATATATCAATATATATACCAAACAACATGCACATTTTCTTTAGTTTTGTGTTCACCTATATCGAGTGCTAACTGTAACTTGTTCTACTAACTAAAAAATGTATATATATATGTATTTATATATATATATATATATATATATATATATATATACATATACATATATATATACATATCTTGTGTTTCGAGTGTCCTTTACTAACCTCTGTTGTGCCATCATCATATGATTTAATAATAGTATATATATAAACAAAAATACTTAAGAACAGTACGCAGCAGTTGTAGACAAATGTTAGAAAATGTTGTTAGGCGTGTTTGCGAGTGTTAACTCTCTTTCTCTCTATAAAAGTATATATGTTTTCACTTTTAATTACGAGCTCAGCTACAGTTTTTCATTTGGATTTATTTTAGCGCATTTGCTTGGGTAGGCTTACCAACAACAACGACAAACAAGAAAATATTTTATAAATCTTGAAATTATGATACACATATCAATATTATTCATAAACAGAATACACAAGAGCACCGATTTCTGCCATATTAGTGTGCTTAAGTGAAACAAAAATAAATATTACAAAAAATATATAAATTAATAAAAACTACTGCCAATAAGAACAAACAGTAGCTTTAAGTTTAGTATTAAAAAATAGAAAATTATTGTATGCTGTAAAATAATATATGAATACTTTGTACTTTATTGTATTATATATGAACAACATTTTAACTATACTTATATCTATATGAATGTAAATCAAAAAATATATTTGACAACACTTCAAGCAACAAGTTCTGAATGAGACTATTAATTACCAAAAAAATATATATAAAAAAAAAAAAAGAACAGAAATTAAAAAATGTATGAGAAGAACAAAATTGATAAAACTCACTTTGAAATTCTTTTTTTGCCAATCATTAATAGTCTCACGAAATGTATTTTTTGTTTTGTGCATATTTTTCGTCAAATGAACAACTACTACGACAACGACCACAACATCGATCTGCGCCTAAAAAAAAAAAAAAAAAAAAAAAAAAATTATAACAATTAATCCAACATAAAACTCAAAAATTTAATTTATATGTATATATTTATATATACATACACTATACATATATATATACATATAAATATAAATAGTCGGCTACACGATGCGTGACATACGCTATAAATGGAACGAGGGCCCGAACTCGGTTGGTGTCTCGAGCGAGGTATCGCTGCCCCAATTTAAGGTCTTGGGTCATCGTCAAAGGGCCATGGAGATCAGTCTTACCACAGGTACCTGTAGACGGTTACCGATTTTTTTATAACTTTACTTTTAACTTTATACATACATACATCAATATACATATATATTTAAATATATATATATGTATATATACATACTTAATTATATTTACCTTTATCTACACACATATACATCGTATGTATGTATATACAAAATAGTGCTGATGACGATTTTAACTCTGCCTATATATATATATATATATATATATATATATATATATTTATATATATATATAATTTTTGCGTTTTCATCTTGAGTTCGATTTGTTGCTTAACTTTTAACATATTTTCATTCTTTATAACAACCCAACAAATATTTTTATAAAGCACTCGTATACTTCTTCATCTACCTAGAACAAAAAGTCGGGTTATATAACATACATATACATATATTGAGCAAACAAATTGCTAAGATTACATTTGAAAATTGCGTCGCCATATGACAAATGCATGAACTTAAGCATAAATATTTTGCTTTCTCTCAATTTACAAATAACGCTCAAAAATGTATCAGCAGATCAGATAGAACTAGAAATGATTTCGGCATGCCGAATAACTCATATTTTTGCAGATATCCTTTCACGATTCATAGGAGCTTTTCATTATACATTATTATTTAGAGTTAGTACATTGTTAAGAAATAAATAATGTCCAAGACGGGATCATTGTAATTATTCGAACACTTCCAATCATCGATATATACATAGCTTATAATTGGAAAATATATTTTAAATTTAATATATTCATTATTATCCGAATACCAATAAATTAAGAAAATCGATCGATTTTAATAGATTTTATGATTGAAAATTAGGAACTGACATCAAACGTAAAATACTAATTTTCTTTAAGAATAAAACCTACTATTCACATAAAACCAGAGCATTCAAATAGGACAGCTGCAAGAATATACAAGAAAATAAAACATTGCTTAGCCCAGACGAAAAAAGACAATATTTTAATATAAGAGCAACAAAAATGCATGTTAAGCTAGTTGGATTCTTTTCCTTTCTATTAATTTAGTAAACCATTTATTTGATTTATTTCCTTTCAAATTTATTTAGTTCCCAAATCTTCATTTCGTCATTGGTTCATAAACAAAATTAAATTATTGGCCCAAGCCAAAGCGAATCAAATTAGTAACTAAAATCAATTGAAAAGTTTTCCGTACTTCATACAACAACAAAAAATACAAAAAATAAAATTAAAATAAAAAAAAAATAAAAACGAAAAAAAATCATTGAAAACCAGCAAACAAAATCAAACTGAAATTGAATTAGTGACATTTGTGTCATGGCAACCACTAAGAGTAAACTTTACATATATATATGCAAAAATAAAATTAATAGAAACATACGTATATCTTCTATATATCTATATATTGAACACCGATACAAATAAAAAATAGCTATGCTTAACTTTATATGGCTTTTATACCTAGATAATCATCCTTTCGATTTATGCCTGGCATTAACAATATATTATATTTTTCATAAACACACACACATATATGACTATATTACATTATTAACTTAGTCACATTTAGTTAATAATACTATAATGCCAAAATTAAATACGCTATCGATATTTTCATTAGCATAACCCGAAACAAAACCAAATAGCAAAACAAAATCACATTAATATTGTAAAAAGAAATACAGAAAAATACACATCTAAAAAAATATATACTGCAAAAATACTAGAATTTTAAAAACTTGAAATTTTAAAATAAAAATCCGTTTTTTCCATAATAATTAGCAGAACCAAGCAAAATCTAACAATATATTTATATATATAGTTATATATATATAAAAAACTAACAAGAAGTAAAAAATAGAAAAATATACAAAACGCCCTCCCAAGCATGCTCTCATCTTTAAAGTTTCCTTTCAAAAAATATATAATAATACATATATAAATCTGAATTCTCGCAGGCAAAAAAAAAAAAAAACACACAATAATTTTCGCCTTAGGCTAGCTCTCGCTCGCTCTCTATCTCCTGCTCATGTTAACTTTTAGTTTGTAATTTTTTTTGTAACTTTTAGTTTAAAATATTTTTTTTTATTAATAATATAACCAAAACATCATCGTCTTAACAGTTTTCAGTCTAGTAAGCGTTAAATATTTCATCTAATTAGCACTTAACACAATTTTGACAATATCTAGTTAATATAAACATACATATATAGCCCATATTATCATATTGTTATTTTTTTCGCTTTACTTACTAATCAAAAACATCATCTTCATCTTGCATACCTAACACATAAATATCTAAATTATTGAAGCGTTTTTATCGATTCATATTGATCTATCATGCAGACAACCCTAAAGTTCCTACAGTTAAATGCGCTCATCTTTTGTTATTAATTTTAAAATTTTGCTTTAATTTTGTTTGTTTTTAATAAGTGTTATATATAAAACTTAAATTTTGTTTAGTAAATAAATGATATGGAATTATAGTGAAACATTTACTAATAATATTTTTACTCTCTGCTCTTTTTTTCTCTTTCTTCCTCAAAAAAAAAAAAAAAAAAAACTAACGAATTGCCGGCAATTACTAAATTTGTTGTATAAAACTATTAATGACTAATGACTGATGGTTAATTACTAATGACTAATGACTAATGACTAATGACTAATGACTAATGACTAATGACTAATGACTAATGACTAATGACTAATGACTAATGACTAATGACTAATGACTAATGACTAATGACTAATGACTAATGACTAATGACTAATGACTAATGACTAATGACTAATGACTAATGACTAATGACTAATGACTAATGACTAATGACTAATGACTAATGACTAATGACTAATGACTAATGACTAATGACTAATGACTAATGACTAATGACTAATGACTAATGACTAATGACTAATGACTAATGACTAATGACTAATGACTAATGACTAATGACTAATGACTAATGACTAATGACTAATGACTAATGACTAATGACTAATGACTAATGACTAATGACTAATGACTAATGACTAATGACTAATGACTAATGACTAATGACTAATGACTAATGACTAATGACTAATGACTAATGACTAATGACTAATGACTAATTACTAATGATTGATGACTCATGAATTGTGAATACCGATGATTGGTAATAAACAGGAAACTATTCGCGCTTAGCCTGCGAAATACAGTTCGTGCGCTCGATGGGCTATTATCTTATACAAATCTACATACCCTCTGGACTGATCGTTATTATATCATGGGTATCATTTTGGCTCAATCGCAATGCAACGCCGGCGCGTGTGGCGCTCGGTGTGACAACCGTGTTGACAATGACAACGTTGATGTCGTCAACAAATGCGGCGCTGCCAAAGATTTCGTACGTCAAATCGATTGACGTCTATCTGGGAACATGCTTCGTTATGGTCTTTGCCAGTCTACTGGGTAAACAAAATCTAGCGACAAAAAATATAAACCTCAACCAAAAAACTAACATTTACCAAACAACAACAACACATTCCAATTCCAAGTAGCTAACATAGAGCACCACACACACACATAAGCATCTAGTACGAAACACAGACACACATATATATACCCTACATTTATGTGTGTTGCTTTATTTATCCAATTTAACAATTTCTCATTTTATTATTTAATTTTTCCTTGGCTAAAGGCTCCCGAACAAGCCGAAATGCCAATCTACTTCTTTAAAAAAAGAAAAGAAAAACACCTTCGCTTAGCGTTTTGCAGCATATAAAAAATACCACAACTACAAATACACTTTCTTTCAAGAGTCTTTTAATTTTTTACAGCAAAAAAAAAAACACACACACAGACAATAAAAAAAAATTCAAGTGAACTTTAAAGAATATTATTTACTTGAATTTTAAAATTTTTTTTTCGTAGTTTTAAACTCTATATTCATTTAAAAAAACAAAAAACAAAGAAATCAATATATTTTTAATATGCTTGAACTATATTTAACAAAATTTCAATGTCTATGTATATACCAAATTTCGATCAAATTTTCGAAAAAATATATTTCAAGCACTTATACTACAGTCCAGTCCAATGCTCTAACTTTAACTTTCTCTCTTAAAATCCTAACATCTTAAGCAACAACTCACACTTTTACCTACAAAAAAAAACTCTCAACTCAGGTCAACAATGAAAAAAAAAAAAAAAAAAAAACTAAAAAAAAAGAAAGAAAAAATCTCTTTTTTCGTATTTGTATGTTATTGTTAATTTTTCTTTACAAAGAAACAATGCAACTATCATCCAAAGAAAATGTATGCAAATTCATAGATATGCGCTAACTGAACAGTAGGGGCCACAAAATTTCCAAGCGAAAAGTTTTGCACACACACACGTACACACACCCACACACTCAAAGACACACATGCACTCAATACAGTTAGTTAACACACCTGCAGAGCTTATAGTAACTCAAAGCAAAAACCCAACTGAAATCGAAGCATGCTTCTGCAAAAAATCAAAAGTTTATATGCCAAAAACCAATTATTTTAGCTTTAGCTTTACTCGTACTTGTACTCTCGTAGACGCCTCCAGGTTGACATTGTGTTCCACAAAAAAAACCATTTCCAAAAAACGACCAAAGCTTAAAATGAAAGTAATTTTTCATCATGATAACTGCATAGAGAATGCACATGAGCGAACACATTTCAACCTGCAATGGTACCCAGATATTAATATACGCCCAGCTTCCACTCAAAAAAAAAAATATATATATATATATATAATAAAATGCAAAGCCTACGAAACAGCCTACAACTAAAGCTACTCAACATACTACATACTATATAATGAAATTTAAAAAAATCTGAAAAAACGCCATGAATTCAAAAGAATAATAACAAATGAACTCCAGCCCAGGGGTACGAGCTAAAAACCGAGCGCATAAAAATGATAACAGCATGCCTTGCGTCACACCTGGCTTGAGTCGCGATTGAATTGAATATAATATAATATATTTAGAATGAAAAAAAAATCACAACACTGTATATAGACCTCAAAGAAGAAGAAGAATGCCACGCCTAGCTGAAGATCATACCTCAACAAAAGATATATATAATCATAGATATATTCGAGCATTTGGTTTGCCAAGTCTGTGGCATTTGAATGTATGTCGCAGACATGACAATCGCAAATGCTAATGCCAAAGCAATAAATATCTATATATAAACAATTTGAGGTTAGGTAAGATATGTTAGCTGTTCTCTATCCCATATGCATATATATATTACAGCAAAGGCGCTCTAGAACTGGGTAAGTAAACTTGTTTCGTTTAAATGTTCTATGAAACTATATACTCTACTTCCTCAAAAAGTAAAGAAAAATATAAATATATACCCTATTCCAAAATTAAACTACATAGAACTTACAGTGTAAGTGGATCTCATATTGGATCCCTGCATGCCCTTTCTATTTAAGGAGTCTCATAACCATACACAATATATGACATAAAACGAAAAGCTGGAAATTGTGTGTGTATGTGTGTACATTCCATATATGTAATATACATATATAAGGATGTGACCCTCCAACCCGCCCACCGATAACCCCTACCAGAGGCGATTGTTCAATGAATTTGCATTTGAGGCACGCACATCAACATTTTCCTTGAATGATGGTTTCTCAGACTGCAGATATAAAAAATTTTATACATAAATCATTTGGCTAACAAATTAACCTGTATTTTATATATATATATGATAACATATATATATATATTCGTTCACTCATTTCAAAACAACAACAACAACAACAATAACAGCCACAACAACAATTACAAATACAACAACAGCAACAAATAACATTTGCAGCAGACAGACAGAGATACTGACAAAACACACACACATACACATACACACGCATATAAACTCACACACTCTCACAAACTCACACACACGTTTAGCCGTTACACCTTTATTGCTCTCTATCTATCTTACTCTGTCTCTATTTACCTCTCACACACACTCTACACTTGCTTTACTCACAATTTTTTTTGTTGCTTGGCTAACGTACAGAATATGAAATTTATTCAGTTTTTATTTCACTACCAACTACAACAATAACAACAACAACCACACATACAAGTGACGTTGCTTATTTATACCCTGTACCTTGGAAAATTGAGGAAAATTAGCAAAGGAGAAAAGTGACTTGGTCTAGCTTAAGCGACTCCATCCTACATGAGTGAAAAATGTATTACAGTTCTTATAAGATATTTTTTATAGAGCATATGTAGATATATATATTTGGTATGCGATTTGTTCTGGCCCTGAGTCTAGTTTTTTTTTCTAGTTCCTAGACTCTAGATCAAATCCGATTTATGCAATGAAATATCAACTTTCGATTTTATTTCTGTATAGTTCCTAAATAGGCATATAGCCAAATGCTATATACTCGTCATACCCCTATACAGAAATATTGAAGTTATTGTACAACTTCTTCTATATCACTTAAGCTATATAGAATCAACTATTTTCTATAAATATTCTATATCTATATCGAAACATTCAGAATCAAATGATTTTCACCAACTATGGGGAATCAAATCCAATTTGTATACAATATTTCATTAACATCCCTTTACCCATTTATCCATATGGAATTGCTATTTAGAGCTTATGTAAACTCTTTGCAATTATTTTCCATCATTTATGCCAAGTATAACAGTTAAACATTCCGGTACAGGGTATCCATCAGTCGGGCATTCTCGTCTGCCTTTTTTACCCGTAGTGCTTTTACCCCGTAACCCCAACACTTTTCCACTTTTGATTTAATATGCCAACCCGAAGACAAATTCATGTACATATATTAACATATATCAAAATTTTTATAACTCACAAATTTCTTATTTTCCTATTAATCTTTCTTCACATATACATATATATATATATATACATATACGTATATAATTGCATAACTATTTGTGCATATGTATATTTGTATACATGTATATCTGTATGTGCTTTTGCGTACATATATAAATGAATGCCAAACAAAAAATTAATATTTTACAACAACGCTCCATTTTCCCTCCATTTACCGTTCCAAAAACCGTACTTCAAAATTACCAAAACTGTGCAACAACAATCCAACTATTTGACAACAACTACAACTACAACAACAACAACTACAACAACAACCACCACCAACAATAACAACAACAACAACAATTATTCAACATCATCAAAAATCTCATCTGGAACGCGGACTTGATTCAAAATTTTACTATGCATCTGCATCAAAATCCCCAACAACAACCAAATTTCCTCCCCACACACCACGTACCGCCCGCAACCGACCGCTCTGAACCATTATCAAAATTCTTAATTGCAATCAATTCTCTAAAACAAAAAAAACTGACTCAATTCGAAACTGTATCCACTATCCAATATATATCATATCGCAATCGTAGAATACGCCACCGTCGGCTATATGGCAAAACGAATTCAAATGCGAAAACAAAGATTTATGGCGATCCAAAAGATAGCTGAGCAGAAAAAGCAACAATTAGATGGTGTGCAGCAGCAGGCCAATCCGAATCCGAATGTCGGAGGCGGACCCGGTCCTGAGCATGGACATGGGCATGGTCATCATGCCCACAGCCATGGTCATCCGCATGCGCCCAAACAAACAGTGAGTAACCGCCCAATCGGCTTTACAAATATCCAACAAAACGTTGGTACGCGCGGTTGCTCGATAGTGGGACCCTTGTTCCAGGAGGTGAGATTCAAGGTCCACGACCCCAAGGCACACTCCAAGGGCGGCACTCTGGAGAATACGGTGAATGGTGGCCGAGGTGGCCCCCAGCCCCATGGACCCGGCCCGGTACCCGGCGGTCCAGGCGGACCCGGCGGCGGTGGTGGCGGAGGCGGCGGCGGCGGTGGAGGTGGCGGACCTCCAGATGCTGGCGGCGACCCGGAGGCGGCCGTGCCAGCACATCTATTACATCCGGGCAAAGTAAAAAAGGTGAAAATCCCAAATTTTTAATATTTAAATATGATCATAGCCAGTATATCATATATTTTTTAATTAGCATCCATTAAGTGGGAAAGTAAAAGCATGCGAAAATCATAGCATGGCTTAAATGATTGAAATGCCCATTCCTCTTTCTTGTTATATATTTATAATTCACATTCTTATATATAATGTATAATATTTTTAAATTGTATATTATTTCCTCCCAGGATATCAACAAACTGTTAGGCATTACGCCTTCGGATATTGACAAATATTCGCGCATTGTGTTTCCCGTGTGCTTTGTTTGCTTCAATCTGATGTACTGGATTATCTACCTGCACGTTAGCGACGTCGTTGCCGATGATCTTGTCCTGCTCGGTGAGGAATAAGCGGCCATGCCCCCTAAGGGTGGCGCTGAGCCGGAAACGGAGCCTGGCCGGAGGCAACAAGTGAGACAACAGCGCACGAGAGAGTTAAACTGTGCAACGCGCTGAAAAATAAAGTTAAAAAAATCATTAACCAAAAGTAATTTTAACTAGAGATATGGAAAAAGCAAAAGGCAACATATTATTGTTAAATACTAATAAAAATAATAATGATAAAAAAAGAAAAGTAAACCAAAATGGATGAAAAAAACACACATATTATGGACGAGAGCAAAGAATATTGTTAAATAGATTTACGCAATTAAAAAAAAAATGAAAATAAATATATATATATAAATATATAAGCATTAATAAGAAGAGGAGAATGCAAAAGAACACGATGAATAATAAAAAGCAGCAGCGTATAGCAAATAGTAGAACAAATATAAACTGAAACAGCCGAAGAAGCAGTAAATTAATTAATAACTATTAATATTTAAACAACAGTAAAAAGAAAAAAAAAAACCAAACAAAAAAAAAAAAAAAAAAAAAAAAAAACCGATAAGATTAATGAAAGAATTAAGTAAAAGAAAAACGGAACAAATAGCAAAAATTAATACACAAAAAAAAAAACAACAACAATAAAAGCACAGTCAAACAAATTTATTTCCGACTCACATAATTCCAATTTTAAGGACACCCAATGCAATTAAATATATAGAAAATGAATCATATAAACAATTTAATAAATCAAAATGGAAAAATTAAAAGCAGAATAGCAAATTGTTTGGATAGATTTTTTCGTTTCCCAATTAATTTCCAAGTTACGATATATTTTAAAAAGTTTTTGTATGCCATGTATGTGAAAGCCACGTAACATCTAAAAGATGTGGACCTCCCTTAATTAGTTTACGGTTTATGTCGTTTGTCCGTTTCGAAATCGAAAAGTAGGAATATCAATATTCTGCAATACTATATTTGATTAGCTAGCTCTATAAATTTGTCGTTTTTAGACTCCTCGAAAATGAAATTAGAATATTGCCTGTCCGTCCTCTATCATTATCTTTATTACTTGTGTGGACTCTCTTATTACTCACACAGATAACGTATGAAAAACACTCTCATATATAACTCACAGTCATGGCAGCTGGAATGCTTCTATCAAGAGGTCAGGGTATATTCTAGTCGTGACCACGCCGACTAGAGTGTACACATACTTACTTATTTACTTTGCCATTACTTCCCCTAAGCAGACAGACAAATGGTCTTCCTTAATTTAGGCAAAAGAAAACAAACTTAATTTAGTTTATGGTTTATGAAACCCCTTTATATATTAAATGCACACTTCATCTACTACATATAATGCCCCTTTAAAAATATATATGGATCTACTATGTTTCTTGATTTCTCAAAACTGAACACTTTTTAGCGCTTCCAAGAAAAATGGCCAAATTTTGTAGGAAATGTCGAAGAACAAATTTCGCAAATTAATCAAATCATTTAATTTAAACTACTCGACCATAAATATATATATATATAAAAAAAAAAAAAAAAATTAATTTATATATATATATGAAAAGAAAAGAATTTTTAAATAATTTGCACATGAACAAATTATACAGAAACAAATTACTTTCAAGGGCACCTTTTGTAAGCGAAAGGCATCGGACAGATATATATATATACAAAAAATAGTTGATATGATTCGATTTTTAATAAAAATGGATTTTAGTTTTACCAATTTTATATAAAAACAAAAACACATGAACTAAAAAACATATTTTAATTGCACTCTAAAACTGAATCCAATAGACGAGTTACAAAACGAAAGAAAGAACAAAAATTTGAATGAAAAAACTGCCTAAACAAGAACTTAGACATTAAGCAACAAAAAAAAAAAAAAAAAAAAAAAGAAATACTAAGCATAAGGAGTTAGACGTTAGTTTAATTGGGGAGATTTATAAAATATTTATTTTCCACAGAGGAAGAGAAACAATTGTAAATAAAACTCAAGAAATACACACTAAACACACACACACACACACACAAAGTAGGAGCAAAACTTCGCAAAAAGTAAGTTAAATTAAAGTTAAAAAACAACAACAATTAAAACAATTAATTAAATATTAGTTAATGTAATTACAGCTAGTTAAATACAAACATGTTCAAGCAGTCAATAAAGCGCTAAATCTAGCTGATAAACAAACAAACATAAACAATGCACCATTTAAGCTTAGTAAAAGACAAATACACACACTAATACACATACATACGGACACATAAACACATACATATATTTGAAGTTTTGGTAAAGTTCCTCAATGAAATTTTTCATTTTAGTTCAAAATGTGAATTTTAAGTTTGTGAATACCAAAACCTAGCACAATACTGACTAAATTTAATGATAATTAAATACTATATCAACGTAACGTTTTAATTTCTTAGTTATGATAAGTCGAAGCTGAGGCAGCGCAGGTTTTTTGTACAGTTAGCTGAGAGTTATATACATATATATATGGCTAATGCTGAGGTATACACCATATGAGTAGCAACTAAAATATTTATGTATATGTATTATGAGCATAACTATTATATAAATACATAACACACACACAGCCACACACACATACACGAACACACACACATCTACATATTTATATGAATGTATGGATGTACTTTATGCAAAGAGTATATACAATAACATAACGTATTTAAGCACCTATATGTAGCACGAGTTTTTTATATGTAAACCAAAACAAAAGAAAAAACAAAACAAAAAAAAATATATAAGAAAAAAACGTGAAAAAAAGAGAAGAAATAAACAATTAATTTTATATAGACTATATGCAAAAAGTACTCCCATAATAAGGTACACTGGCAGTTATAAGCAAACAACAAAAAATACACAATTCTAGGCGCAAGACTGTCGATAAAATGAGGAATATATAAAGTATATATATAGATCATGGCATATATATATTAATCTACACAGTCAACAATGAATGAAAGAAAATACTCTATATACATATATACATACACTTAACCGAAAACATACCCTAACTAATAATAATCTGAATGTAACAACAACAACAACAAGCGAAAATTACTTTATTAACTTTCTAGACAGACAAACACAGACTCCAACACACACACAAACACACACACTAATAAGCATACACATTCGTAAAAGTGTAACCAATTGAAGAACTTTTACCTAGATTTTTGTATTGAACCAGTTGAGCCAGGTGGTACTTAGCTACTTAGGATTTGACCTAACAAAATAAAAAAGCAACTGCAATTGATTTACACCAATAAATAGGAAAAATTTAATGAAATAAGAAACAGCAGAGTTAGTAGAAGCAGCAAATACAGTGAAACATACAAAACTCAAATTTAAGCTTAGCCACACCAACATACACAGATTTTTTTCAGAACACACTCACCTACACACACACACACACACACAGACTTAACTCGACATCAAGTGAAATCGGTGATAACAAGAATATATATAAGTATAACTGGGCATATACTATATATATATATATATATTTTGTAGCTATACAGGTGTCGGAATTCAATTATATATATGTACGTATATATATACGTATATGACCGAGCGAAAAAAAAATAGTTAAATCAAAATGTTTCTAAATTGCGTTAAGTGCGTGTTATGTGAGAGGCTTAACTGTAACGATAACAACAACAAGCCGATTACCAAATCGATAACAACAACAAATAGCTGCTCAACGGTTTCGGAGCGTATTTCCAAAAAAAAAAAAATATATAAAAAATAAATACTTTAGTTATAAAAGAAGAAGAAAACAAAAAAATAGCTGAGAATTTTTAAATAAACAAAACTAATTAAGTTAATATATTTACTTTTCGTATTCTTTTTTACTCTACACCTAGTTAACGGTATCATTTGTCGAGAATCGAAAATCGAAAATATTTAGTTTGGCTATAGTGAAAATTTTTTAAATGGAAATGTTTAAGAATATTTATAAAAACAGCAAACAAAACGGAAAGAAATTTCAAAACAAAAAAGGGCAAAGCATTTAGGACAAATAATGACACAAGCCCCGCAAAAATATACACAACAATATATATAAAAATATATATATATAAAAAAAATTAAATATAAAAAGAAATGTTTGAAGCATTTTTGGTGCCGTTTTTTTAGAGAGCGGCATCAACACACACAAAAAACATGATTATGATAAATATGTATACATATAATGAGAGTTGTATGTGCATGATGTAACAATTACATCATGTATGTGCGTAATGATGTATAAATACAAATTGTATGTATATTATATATGTATGTATGATGGTCTCAACAAAATGAAATTCTAAAGTATATAGATAAGCAAACGAAAAACAGTTAAGAACTTAAGGCATTTAGTTAAAGAATAAAATCTAACACATACACACACACATACATATACGCACACACATTCATTAAAAGCGCACCAAAAAAAAAAAAGGAAAAACATTTTTTAAATGCAAAAAATATATATAATAAAAAACAATTATAATTCTTTAAAACATATATAGAAACAATATAAAATAAAATAAACATCAATTGGATAATTGCACAAAATAAACTGCAAAATGAAATTGAATACTTAACACACATACATTATCACACACAGACACAAACACACACATATACTTATGGTTGTACATCTTTTTGATTACCTTTCAGTTGAGCACAAAGCTTAGAATTATAAATAATTATACAACTTAAGTCTTGTTAACTAAATGTTTAATTTAATTTGTTGCTCAATTATTGTTAACAGCATACCATCCTTAAAGAAAAAGAATAACGAAAAACAAAGAAAAGTCCTTAGCACAACTCGCTGCATTTTCGTAGTTTTCTTTCGAATTTTCTTCAAACTCTTTCACATCCATCATGAGCTGCCATAAACCAGCTGATATAATGTATCTATTGTTATTATTTTGTTTATCCGTCCATTAATAAAGTTCCTAATTGCAATAAATGAACGATTTGTTATGATTAACAGCAGTCAGCGAGAAAAACTCTAACTCTAACTCAATCTCAACTCAATCTTAACTCAACTCAACTCCCACGGAGCAGTCAATTCTCAATTTGTCTTATGATCGCTTTTCAGTTTCTCTCATCTCATCTACAGCTCGAACTCTCGTCAATTATATTTTCAAAACTCTCTATCTCTCTCGCACTCATCATCTAAGTTTGGTTATTTCCTCCCGATGC